TTTTTTTTGCAATGTGGCCCAGTTCAAATACCATTTACAATAATGGACACAGAATATTACTTTAAAATAAATAACTAATAATAAAACTCACCAAGTCCTCCCAGTCCTGTTGGTCCAATCAGCTGCATGAGTTGATTGTGACTCATATTACCCAGGAGGCTTTGCAGACCACCTTCTCCTTATAGAAAATTACATGTACAAAAAGGGAAATTCACTTAGTACTCTTCTTGACAAAGTGTCTGTCCCAATACCTACACTTGCTGTCACTGCACTTGACCACTAGTGTGCGTAGAACGATTACCCGATGGGGCACACTTACAAAATAGAGCTGTAAAAACACAAAAAAAACAAGTAACAACTTTTAAAGAGCACATTTTGATTTTCAATACTTTAAAGTAAACTTCTCGATGCCTGTTTGGTAGTTCGTATGCAACAGACAGCAATTTAGTAATTGTGGAGCTTCTAATTAAGAGATAAAAAGCAGCTGCAAATGTTTTACGAAATACACATAATAATATATGTTCCAATACAACATGCAGCTTTTTATATTTTACTACCAAATTATATGTAATATCTAATTTAACTTAGTTCCTACATGCAGTAAGTTACCAGTTCCTGAACCTAATGAATGATGTGATATGCTTAGCCTCTGAAGCGCTGCCAGTGACAGTGGATTTAGTGAGAGCTTTAGCATTTCTCAGACCTTGGACAGTCCCCGTGCAGTTTGAGCTTGAAAATGTTTTAAAATAAAAATAATTATTAATGTAAGTAAATAAATAAATAAATGCGCACCTTAAATACCTTCAAATATTTATCCAGTTAAATAAAGTGACAAATGAAAAAGAGTGACTACGTTTTTTGGTATCTAACCGTCATAGCTGCTAAATGTATTCAGCAAACACAGATGTTTTTTTGTTGTTGTTGGCTGTGGTAAGTCTATTCTACCGCACTTGAGAAATCTATTTTGACATTTCTGATTTTTTTGGCCCGTCTGTTGCTATGGTTATCACTATATCAATCATCACAATTTTAGTAATGATTCACAATCATATTAGTGGACTCACTCCCAAAGCTTTTATTCAAGCTGCTAAGGAATTCTATATAGAAAGCAAGCAAGAGCGCTCTCTTTATAAATCACAGAAGCTGTCAATCACTTCAGTTCAGCATGAGCTCATACTCTACACTCCTGCAGCTGACTACACTGCACAATCAACCTCTCTACCTCATATCTTCACTATTTATTAGTTATAATCAAAGGACACGCAAGTGTAGAACTCAGTCAGTAGCTGGGTTTCCATCCAAAGTTGCAAATTTAACTTGTGCACAAAATTGGAATATCACATAAAACATTTGCGAATAAGCACCGTTTCCATCTAACGAGTCAAAGAGAACTAAATCGTCACTTCCTGATAAACTGGCACTACATATCACTAAGAAATGTATGAGAAGCCACCGAATATAATAGTTTTCATATATAATAAATTACTTGCGTCACAAGCGAGCAGACGAAACACAATAAATGCGGTCATTGCTT